TTTTTTTTTTCCACTCGTAGCTTCAAGCAGTGTGATGGTGTTCAATCAGCTGTGACCTTTTAAGTGGTGATGTAGTTTCAGGAGTCTATCTTAAAGGGTGAATATCATACTGTGTGTAGCTGCAGCAGTGTATTGACTACAAATGTGAAAATCCAGCAGAGCTGGAGAACAGCTGAGGATTTTAAAATACAAATAAACCTCTACTTCCTGTTTTTGAACTCTAGCTAGACTTGTGAATGTTCAGGAAAGTCAAAAGGCTCATTTAGCCGGTTACTGAAATGAAGTCTTTGTTTATGACATGATGCAGTAACAGAATAAATTACCACAGCTAAACCAAACTTATTAACTTGTCTTTCAGGCAAGATGTGGCATGCAGCCTTCCTCCTGTTGGCTGCCAGCTTGTCAGTGAGCCTGGCCAGACCCCACCTCCATCCACTGTCTAGTGAGATGGTCAACCACATCAATAAACTGAATACTACCTGGAAGGTGAGTGAATTGTTTTTTAATTTATGACAGACCTCTGAGAGTAAAAGTGTTTGACTAAATCTCCTCCCTGTCTTGCAGGCTGGCCACAACTTCCATAACGTCGATTATAGTTATGTGCGCAAGCTGTGTGGTACAATGCTGAAGGGACCCAAACTGCCAGTCATGTGAGTCTTAGTCATATGTTCTGTGGTTGCGAAACAAGTCCTCTAACGATCCCTGACATCAGAATATTTCAACCTACGCTGATCACAGGATAGTTGACTGTACTTTCACATTATTCTCAGTGTCACTGGAAACTTACTAATAGGGCTACATGATTATGGCTAAAATGCTAATCACTTATTTTGAGTAATGAAATCAAAATTATTTGTTTTAATTTTTACATTGTGCCACATTCTTGTTAAATAAAACTTCTTTAATAAAATTAAATAATGTGCTTATTCACCTGAGAGCATCTCTTGGAAGCTGAATTTAAAGTCTTTCACTTCATTCATCGTAGCTGCATAATTAAAGTGAATATAAATCATAGTACTCGACAGCTGTGGGTCCCTTTCCCCTGGAGTGTTTTTCATACAGCGTGGGTATTTCCACTGCTTAAGGCAGTAATCTTTTGTTTAGTAAGGTAACTGTTTTCTTGAAGCCTTCAGTACTCTCTGTTTATTGGACAAGTCTGTGGTGATTGCAGGCTGGCCACAGGCTGCCTTTGTGAGCCGGAGGAATAGGCTTGTTGTTATGGATGTCTGTAGGATGCAGGTCGATTCACATTAGCAGCTCTTGCATCACATACAAGTCTTCCTGCAGTCATTATGCTGCATTTTCTGATGGGTTTTCAGGGAGTTGAATAAGTTGAGTTGTGATGCAGATACAACTCTATGGCACTCACTGCATATGAGTTCTTCTAGTTAGGATTAGGGATGGGTATTGATAAGATTTTCACGATTCCAATTCCATTTTCGATTCTGTTTAACGATTCGATTCTCTTATCAATTCTTTTAAAAAAAAAGGAGAACACTAAGGTCGAATAGCTTAGAACCTTGTTTTATATCTTCTCTTTGTACAAGATAGAAATTTAGGAGTAACATGGCCTTACAAACCCAACAGTGAGATCTTAAGAGATCCA